ACTCTTATTCAGCCTTCCATAACTTCACCTCTGTCCAATCTGAATTCAGTGTCAATCCTGGCCCACCTTTTCTACCCACGCAAGACTTCTTACTGCTAATGTAATGCCAACATCAGGGATGGCTTCCCTTCCTGAAGCCCTATTTCCTGCTGGATCTCCTTATTGCAAGAAAGACTGTTGTTGCAAGCCAGTTGATCTTCTCCTTCGTTTTGATGAAATGTCTCCACTACCCAGTGCAATTCCATTACTTCCAGCTGTATTCTTAAGCCATTCTCCAAGTTGCCAATTCTTGGGCAAGTTTGTGCACAATATCCTCTCTAAATTATCTGGATTGTATTATATATATATGTATAGAGAGGGGGGGGGGCTCACTTGGGGAAGAGAACAAAAAGCAATTTTGCAAAGCTGCCAGGGAAACAGCATAGAACGCATTATTAAAATTCAAGATGGCCCTGAGATTATATTTACATTTAAGACAATTACACAGAGAATATAATGGGGTTGGTTGGTTTGATTATTTTTTTTACTCAGTTTGAATGTGCAAACCTATCTTTAAGAACCTGGCTTGCATCACGACCAATCAAAGCCAACCCAACCATATTATGGCTTAACACAGAAATACAACGTAGTGTTATCCCTTTGATGGATTTATATCCTTTATGAACCTCTCCAAGGCTGGTGAGATGACTCCTGTGCCATTATCTTTCTCGCTCTGTCTTTTATATCTGCTACCCCATACACGAATGAGTGACTCACCAGCCCTTTGCTATTGTCTCACAGATTTCTGGTTGCAGAACTTGATCTACGTGCCAGTTGTTAAACAGGATAGCAAGAGTGGCACAAATTCTAGGGAGTTTTGGGGAAGGAAACTTCCTTGTGGGTTGAACTGGTAAGCATTTTATTTTTTTAAAAAAAACATCAGCTGAAGTTGCTGAGGAAGAGTTGTGTTCCCTGACTCATACGGTAATCGTCATACGGGAAAAAAAAATAAAACCAAAACCTCCCAGCTAGAAAAGCTTCAGAAAAAAAAAAAAAACTACATACAATTTAAATAAGGAACCAACTCCTATCATTATGGGAGCCAACATTTGGGCTGTGTGATAAAAGCAAATTTAGAACTTTTCCTGGGAGGCCTGCTTCTTATTGTGTACTCCCAAGGGTCTTCAGACGTAGCAAATTTAAGACTTGTGGACTTTCAACTCCCAGAATTCCTGAGCTAAGATGAGAGGAGGAGGAATTCTGGAAGTTGAAGTCCACAAGTCTTAAAGCTGTCAAGGTTGAAGATTTCCTGGTGTACTCGGTACAATTTTAATTGCTGTCAATGATGACGGGCACCAGACGGGCACTAAGCATGTTTTCAGTCCTATCATGTTGAGAAGGGATGATTTTATTGCCGTTCAAGGCATTCTTAGAAATGCTATACATTTGTTCTATACGTTCTCCTTATCGCCCATCCCCCCCACTTGTGACTTTATGAAAGTAACTTTGTCACTTGTATCCTTACGATCTATATTGACTGTTTCCTAGTAGGATTTGATTGCTTATTGCACCCTATGACTATTATTATGTGTTGTACCTGATGATTCTCAACTCTTGATGAATGTATCTTTTCTTTTATGTACACTGAGAGCATTTACACCAAGACAAATTCCTTGTGTGTTCAATCACACCTGGCCAATAAAGTGTTCTGTTCTGTTCTACTCTACTCTACCCTACTCTACTCTACTCCACTCTTCATTCCAATATCCTATCCTACTCTACTCTACTCTACTCTACTCTACTCTTCATTCCAATATCTAATTATTCTATTCTACTCTACTCTATTCTTCATTCCAATATCTATTCTGTTCTGTTCTGTTCTATTCTATTCTATTCTATTCTTCATTCCAATATCCTAATCCTAATCCTATTCTATTCTATTCTATTCTACTCTGCTCTACTCTACTCTACTCTACTCTATTCTTCATTCCAATATCTGATCTGTTCTATTCTATTCTTATTCTTATTCTATATTGTATTGTATTGTATTGTATTGTATTGTATTCTATTCTATTCTATTCTATTCTGAATACGTGAAAAATTCACATTGCAGAGAAAGGAGAACCCAGTCATGCTTTTAAAAAGGGCAAGCCTTTTGCATTTGTGAGTACAACTAGTCCTCGACTTAACAACAGTTCATTCAGTGATGGTTCAAAGTTACCACGGCCACTAAAATAAAGTGACTTGGGACCATTTTTCATGTTATTTACATACAAATGCTTGATAACTGCTTCACATTTACGATGGTTGTCATACCTTTTGCGACCAGGGGGTCAATGCGGAAGCCAGATTCGCTTAACAGTGGTGCTACTCACTTAACAACGGCAGCGATTCCCTTAAGAAAGGCGGCAAGCAAAGTGGTACAATGGGGCAAAACTCACTTAACAGATGTCTTATTTAGCAATATCAATTCTGGGCTCAATTGCAGTTGTAAGTCAAGGACTGCCTGTATTTCAATTTCTCTTTATTTTTCCCCTCTGTTTCAGTGTTATATTTTTTTAAGGGCAGAACCTTCCTGAGTCATGGGAGGAAATGTCTGTTTTGAAATGGGAGACTATCAAGCTTATTTGTTCTCCTGTACAGGTAATCCTCAACTTAGAACCATTTAGTGACTGTTCGAAGTTATGACGACACTGAAAGAATTGACTTAGGACTGTTTTTTGCACTTAACGACCATTGCAACTGACTCATATTTATGACCGTTGCAGTGTTTCCCAGGGGGACAGTCATGTGATTTCCCTGGGAAATCTGCGGGGGAGGGGAGGCCCTGATTGACTTCTGACAAGCAGTCAATGTGGGGAAGCCAGATTCACTTAACAGCCATGTAACTAACTTAACAGATGCAACATTCACTTAACAGCCAGCCCACCCCACTCCACCCAAAAAAGATGGTAAAACGGAGCAGAACCCAACTGTCTTGCTTAGTAGCAGAAATTTTGGACTCAACTGGGCTCATAAGCCGAGGACTAGCTGTACAGTATTTAGTGAGCACATTTGAATAAAAGGATAATCCTGGCCCAGTTGTAGGGCTGTGCAGTGCTTAGGATTCGGTTCGAACGGAGGAGTGAAATTAGCACATATTTGTAACTCCTTAAGGCCATGATGGAGGCACATGAGAGGTCTCCTGGAAAAGCCCCACTGCGCATGTGCGCGTGCCACCTGCCCAACATCTGATTGTTGGGTATCTGGTGCGCACGCACGGGGAGGTGGAAGACTTGAACACATGCATAGGGGTGCGCCGGGGGAGTTGCGTACAGAGGGCATGGGGGCCCCAGTGCACGTTGCCTTCTGGGTGCTTGCACACGAGCGCTCATGCAATTTTCGGCACGGGAGCCGAAAAAGGTCAGCCACCACTGCCTTAAGGCAACCTGACATTAAGGGATCCCACTGAAAGATACAGGAGCTTTAAAGAGTTGAGACCAGTGATTTGCCTTGTGGCACGATGGCCTCCCTTTTCTCATGCTTTAATTAAATTAACATGAATGAAGTCAGGCAGGGATCAAGGGGTATTTTTTTTGTGCTCGGCTGTGACCCAAGGTTCTCCTGAGCAAAAGGAGAGGAAGGGAGAGGGGTGGATTGAATAGATCATCATGCTTGCTTGATCCCAGGAAGCTAGGATTCCAAGGGATCTGCTCACTAGCCTATTAATAGCCTGGATAAAACCAAGAAATCGAACTGCCTTACCTGTCTTATAGGATTATTAATGCTGTTCAAAAGCCCTCTGCGTTTTCCTGCAGAAAAATTACAAACGTTTTGTTTCTTCTTTGGAGCACTTAATAATTTACCTGAAGTAGGTTGTTCGTACAGAAAAGAGGAACATAAAATGAAAGAACTACGCTGCTGTTTGGTTTTTGTTTTTAATCTCCTCTGGAAAAAATCCACGAAACGTCCTCCTTCTCTTTCTCTCTTGATCCTACCACCCCTCCGTTTTTTGATATCTACTATGGACTTTCTCCAAGGATAGAGGGCCACTAATGACCTTTGGATGCTGAATTAGCAATATTGCTGCCCTTATTACGTGTTGCATATTGTTCCAATATTTATTCCCTCCCTTTCTGGCTGTATCTCTTGTGGTGCCATTCTTACTGAAGTTTTTAATCGAATTTTCTGGGAATGAAGGACAGTTGGTGAATTAACATTCCGGCACGCTATTTATGAAGAAGTCTGGAGGAGAATCACTCTTTGGTGTGTCTCCATTTTCTTGTTTATCATTCTTTTGGCTGCAAATTGGTGGAGGCATTCAAATCTTAGTGTTTGCTGCTTTGTTTTGCTTTAAATGTAAACTTGCGTTAAATTGCTTTTATCGAGCGTCAGTAATAATTTGCTTCTGGAGCTCTGCACTTTGATATGGCCCAAGGGCTAATCAATACAATACAATAAAATATTAGGGTTTACTGCTTTGTTTTGGTGTAATGGGGGATGCTGATCCGGCTATCTAGTGACGTTTCATGGGCAGTGCCTAGAACAGGGGGTCTCCAGACTTGGAAACCTTAAAGACTCATGGACTTCAACTCCCAGAATTTCTCAGCCAACGTGGCTTGACAGTTTTGTGCTGAAGTCAGTCCCAAACTCAATTTGAAAACGATGATCTAGGTTGGCTTCTTTAAGTAGAAATGATTAGGAAGTTGACGAAAGAGGAACAGATTTGTGATTTTTATAGAAACGTGATATTTTAGACATTCTAGGTGTATTTAAACATGTCTACAAAAATTAAAATTGGCTACCTGAGCGACCCCCCAACCTTTTGGGGACCGGTTCCGCGGAGAGAGGTTTTTCCGTGGACCAGAGGAGGCATGGTTTTGTGTGCTGCCTGCATCCCACAGATGGAGCTTTGCTTGTTTGCTGGCATGCTGTGGCCCAGTGATCGGTCCACAGACTGGGGTTTGGGGACCACTGGATTACCTAATGCGTGTTCTTCTTATCATATTTTTCACGTTGCTCTGTTATTATTATTGTTTTAGCAGGAAGAGAAAATGGAAGGCAACGGCTCCCTTTGCATTCAGAGTTGGTCAACCAGACACGTGGCCAAGTGGCTGAAGCAAGAAGGCTTTTGCGAGTATGTGGACGTTCTGTGTGACAAGCACCGTCTGGACGGGATAACGCTCCTGACCCTGACGGAATATGACTTGCGGTCCCCTCCTTTGGAGATCAAGGTTTTGGGGGACATCAAGCGGCTGATGCTGTCCATCCGGAAGCTGCAGAAGCATCACGTGGACATTTTGGAGGAGCTGGGCTTCAGCAGCGAGAGCCCCATCGGCTCCTTGTCCCCTGTCATCGGCTGCGTCCAAGGCAGGGAGTGGTTTTGCAATGGCGAGGCGCAGCAGCCGCGGGACTGCGATGACTGTGAACCGGTGTCGGAGCTGAGCGCCGAGCAGTATCAGTACACCAACGGGAAGGGCAAGCACACCCCGCGGCAGCTGAACCCCGAATATTGGAAGACGGCCCTGAGCTGCATATATGTCTTCATTGTGTTTGGCTTCACCTCCTTTGTCATGGTCATTGTGCACGAGCGCGTGCCCGATATGCAGACCTACCCACCGCTACCAGACATCTTCCTGGACAGGTAAGGAGGCTGCTAGCAGGGTTAAAGGGCCCCCCGTTTTTGAGTAGAATTGCAACAGTGGCCTGATTTGTTGACAATGCTGATTTTCCCAGGAAGTTCATCGTATGCACAGACAGGTGTAGAAATTACAGGGAACAAGTTGCTTGCACTTTCTTAAATGCAGGTTCTTAACTATTTATAATTATATAAAACAACTGCCGGCAATTGAGAAGCCCACCTGGGAGGCTCTCGGTCCATGAGTCTAAGTGAAAAAAGTTACTAAATGATCTTATTTATTTGTGCACGCATGCAAATGCAGTTGTGCTTTTTGGAGCACAGCATCCAGAATTCTGGGAACAGAAGTTAACTAAGACAATTGAAGGCCTGGAGACCAAAACATACGAAGAACGGTTGCAGGATTTGGGTTTGGCCAGTCTAGAGAAAAGAAGGACTAGGGGGAACATGGTAGCAGCGTTCCAGTATTTCAGGGGCAGCAGCAGAGGGGGTCAATTTATTTTCCAAAACACCACAAGAAACAAGGGATGGAAACTAATCAAGGAGAGAGGCAGCTTGGAATTGAGGAGAAACTTCTTAACAATGAGAACAATCAACCCGTGGAAGGGCTTGCCTTCAGAAGTTGTGGATGTTCCATCACTGGAGGCTTTTAGGAAGAGACTAGACAGTCATTTGTCTGAAATGGTATAGGGTCTCCTCCTTGATCAGGGGTTGGACTAAAAGGCCTCCAGGGTCCCTTCCAGCTTTCTTCTAATGGATTGATTAAAGGTTGATAAACAAGTGGCTTCGCCCCGCCACACCATAATATGTGGAATGATTTATGTAATTTCTGTAGTGACTTGTATATCTTGGTGATGGGGTCCTTGGTGCTCCATGAGCTGGGTTGTTGTCTTGCAGCCATTTCATTACCCAACTAGGTAACCATCCGCGCTAAGATGTCTCAGTTTCAGTTGACATTGAATCAGAAATCTTAACTGCTGGATTCTGTTTCCTGAGGTCAGTTTGGGACTGACTTCAACACAGAATTGTCAAGATAACAAATCAATTGCATATTTGAGGCCGGGGATCTCCAAATCCGGCAACTTGTGGACTTTAAGACTGTCTGTGACCCAGATCTCTCCGACAGTGAGATGGGCAGCATGTACATTTAATAAATAAATAAATTCTCCTGCTTGAGCAGCGAGCTGGATTAGAGGACCTCAAAGGTTTCTTCCAGCTCCTAATTCTATTCCATTCTAAATTCTCGAGGTATAAGCTGGATGTGTGTGAATTTGTAGATTTTAATTGGCCTGGAGCGAGGCAGATAAACCTAAACCACATTTAGAAATATCCACCACCATGGCTGAATGGGAGGGGGCAACCAACTGGTTTTGATGTCGTCTTGACCTGCTCTTTGATCAGAAACTCCTGTACAGTCAGATCATTCTTGGACCGATGGCCTGATTGTGAGAATCACTCCAGCCGGAGGCAGGCCGGTTGTTTACAGAACACGCTATCTCCTAACTTTGAGGTTACGTCATCGGAGCTCTTTGGTGAGGCTGCCCCAGTGATGCCATCTTGGCAAAGAGTTTCCAAGAATTTTAAAATGGGTGAGAATTCACCTACCCTGAATTCATTCCAGAATTCATAAGTTGTGCAAATCTGTTGAATAATCCTAAGCACTATACAAACCATTGCATTTCTTTGTATTTGTATTTTAATTTAGAAACCACCCATCTCACGCAGAGTATAGTTTAGCCGTATTATCATCGATCCACCTGTCAGCTGGTGCTCCGTTCAAAATCCAGGAAAGAAATACTTAGACTCTTGTAATTAGAGAAAAGATGTCTTTTACTGGAAGTCAAGTGGTAGCCACAAGAAAATTCTGAATTTGGGTAACTAGGCACGCACATCACATATATCAAGGGAGTGAAATGTTCCCACCCCCAACAGCCCAAACGGTTCTTCCAATTAAAAGTTGTGAAATACATCACGCGGACATCTCCAGGTGGTGATGATTAGATGACCTTGGCTTACTCAGATAAAGGGTTGCAGTTGCACAGAGAAGAGAAAGCTAAGCAGGAATGAGAAACCCTCCCCAGTTTATACAATATCAGTTATTAACTCTTTCAACACTTTCCACCACCACCCCTGTTACTCATGGCAGCCAGAAAGAAGCAAAGGAAAGGAGGAAGATCTTGAAGGCTGACACCACAAATGATGGTAGAATTGCAACACCCTCAATCAAATGGATGTTGCACCTTAATATTTAATGCATCCTCAATAAACCCCCAACTTATCAAATCTATTCCGCCACAAAACAATTCAATCCGAGTTCGGTTTATGTTTTTTTAAACACGAAGAGCCGCAGAAATAACAACTGTAAAGTCTGCTTGACGCCTGTCTAGCCTACTCATCATAATTGCATTTACTGCTTACAATATGTAAATTAAAAAAAAATATTTAAAAAATAAAAACAAAAATATAATCATTCCGGTTAGGTCCCAATCATTCCATAGCTCCGTGAACAAAGGGGCTGTTTCTTAGCGGTGTCCTTGTTGCAAATAATGGGGGGAAACTTGGCCGCAGTGGGCATTTGCGCTGGGCAGATCCTTTTCCCTGCCATCCTCTGCTTTCATTCCATGCCACTGGACACTGGGTTCATTCATGCAGAAGCCCTAAGTGAGTCACTTGTCAGTCTGAGCTAAAAGCAAACAATGGAGCTGCACTGTGCCTGAATGTTATTATCTATGACCCAGGTTGTTGAATTTGGACATTGTTTTAATCCTTGCTTTGCATTTAAGAATAAGAGAAAGAGGACGCCTTGAACGCCAGATGTTATTCTAGGTTAAATGTGGGATCTTCAGGCAGTGGGGACCTCTCTGCTAAACCCTAACCAGCAAACAAGGCAGGGAATTACGGCAACCGGCTGTCTGATTGCTCCAACTCTTATGTCCTCTAGTAACCGAAAGACATGTGATGGGTTCTTTGTTTGAATTGCTTCTCATCTGCCCCATGAGTGGTTTCCAGAGAATGATTGCAAAAGACTTGGAAGACAAAGTTGACCACAAAAGAATCCGAGGTCATGATAATACTTGAATAGATGAGATCTGATAATTATCTTGGTTTAAGCTTTAACCTGTTACCTTATAATCGCTTGACAAATTAAAAATAAAATAAAGATCAAAAGGATTTGTTCGGTTCTCTAAACTCCGAGATGTGCGGATTTTCAGCTTTTCTAAGAAAAGACTAAATGCCCTGGGTTTTTGTTTTTTTCCCCCACCCCTTCAAAGAAACCTATCTAAGAAATGGAATATTTTGGAATGCTTATAGCTGCCCAAGTAACAAATGTTTGGGAAACGGTTACACATCATTTTATTAAAAGTTTTAAAAAGGAAGATAAACACTAATACAAACCAATGTAAAGTTAAAAAAAAAAAGAAAGGAATAAAAAAAGAAAGCTGAAAGTACAAGAAAGGAAACAAAGTAAAAGAAGAAAAGAAAGAAAAAAGATACAAAACAGTGATTTCCCATCTCCTTTACAGCAGTTATAAATACAATTATAAATGTATCTCTTTCTCTAAAGTTAGAACGTGTCTCTCTTGTTTCTATAATTTATCCTGTTTAATTATCAATACCATAAATTGTAAGTTCATTTTTTTTCCTGTTTTACGCAAAGAAGTCCATAAGAGGTTTCCTAACAAAGTTCCAACTGTTTGTTCATCAGTTCCAAAAGAAAGACCTTGATTCTCAACTATATATTAATCTTTAAAATCCTCTGAATTGTGTACATACTTGAATCCAAAATTTTCTAGCTTTTTTTACACATCCACCAAGCAAGACAAAGTGCTCCATCTTGTTATACAAATTTGAAGCGACTTCATATATTCTAGAAAATTTCTCTGGTGACATACAGTATACCAACAATACAGCACACATTTCCCATTGTTCCATTTGTATTATTATAGCCCACTTTGTCGTGCTTTAATTTCATTTTGTTTCATTTTCGTTTGTTCTGCGTCCAGTTTTGATAAAGGTTTGTGCGTTTTAGCAATTACACATTGTTCATTTGTACACAATTCTATGACAAAGACATTCCTACAGTGTTCAGAATCATAACTCTTTCATCTACTTTAAATCTTTCTAACAAGTCAGTTCTTGTCTTGGTTTTGTTTTGCTTCCCCCTTGACAAAATTCAAAGTTTCTCTTTTGATCCGTACTCCCAGAATTCTCTAACCTTGTTCTTATATCTCTAAATCAATTTTTGAAGAACCAAAATAAAGGAAAGGAAACTGTGTGCACCCCTCTCGTTTTCCTTACTGTATCTCACAAGGCTTTGCTAGATGTCCATTAACTATAATGTCTGCTTTTCTGTGAAATATAAATTCATCCTACCCATTTTATAAAGTTCTCTCCCAAGTCCATATTTTCCAAATGATTTTTAAATCATTCTCTCTCTCTCTCTCACACACACACACACCAAAAAATGTAAAATGGGAAAGTGTTCATTGCATATAGTCTACACATCACCGTGCATAGATTCTTCTAGAATTTACTAAGGAGGCAGACAGACAGACGGAGTTGCTATAGTCATCTTTAAAATAGGCTTGGAAATCTTTTCCAAAAAGGAAGCACGAGGAATGCAAAATTTTAGTTCTATAAGTTGTTTCTCAACCGATTAACTTTCTATATTAACACATCAAGGAGTGAGACACATCTGGAGATACTGTAGGAAGGGTGGTGGTGTTGCATTTAAAACCGTGGATCTATTTTGTCGTATTTAAAAAAATGGGCATTTCTGAGTTTTAAGTCAAGCTCTGCCCCAGATTCCCATCATTCTCACACTTAGTTTTTTGTTTCCTTGAGTTTTAGGCTTCATTAGTAATATCTTTAAAAGGTGACATTTAGCCCTTTTAAGATGGTAGTTCAGGTCTCTGCTCTTATTTCTAAGAAAACATGTTTTTCTTCTAGCCAAGGTCACTTTTTTTGGCATGCGAGAACTGGCCTTTTCAGCAAACACAGTAGAAAGTGTATTCTGAAAATGCTTGAATACACTTGCAACTTTCAAGAAAGATACAAACCCAGCTGGGAAAAACATGTATGTAACTCATACATTTGTCACTTGTGGAATGTTATCTTGAATCAATGTTTTCTATTGTTCAGACAATCAACATTGATTTAATTGTTTGATCATTTGCTTACCGATCTATTACATATACTGAATGTATTTATCCTTTGTTTCTTTACCCTATAAAATGACTTGCCTCTACCCCACCACTTAATAAAAAGGCTTTATGCTTTGCCTGAATAGTTTAGTGATTCATATTTTCAGGAAGAAAATATATTCATATTTTTTGCAAAGAAGCCCTTTTGCAAAGGTACAAATCTCTTCAATTCAGGGATCCATTTCTTTTATTAAAAATAAAGCTTTATTTAATATATTTTCACAATTAAAAACATATTTCCACTTATTACAGCGTGTTCATAATGGCTTTCACTCACGCTGACATATTCCTAAATATGTAGGTTGTTACTAAGTATTGTTACGGTTATTTCTGCATTCAATTTAAGGCATATATTCATGTACTTATATAATTATTTAGATAGTCATCTTACCATAACGCCTACCTTTCTTTCATTTATCTACTTTATGTCTACCTTCTAAGCAGTTATACCATACGTTCCAGATCTCATGCTACTCTGTTTCTTCTCTCTCTTTCATTTCCATCAATAGCCTATCGACCTCTGTACATTCTAAAACCTTTTTTATTATCAAGGTGTTGGAAGGATTATTATCACAGTTCCAATTCTGGGCATAGGCAATTCTTGCTGCAGTTATTATAAGGAGTGCAATATATTGAAATTTTTTGCTAATTTTATCTCTTAATATACCCAATACAAATATCTGTGGTTTTAATTCAATTTTCTGTTTTATAATTTCTTCAAGCCAATTCTTAATTTTGAGCCAATAATTCTTAGCTTTAGGGCAGGTCCACCACATATGGAAAAAAGTTCCCTGTTCATGATCACACTTCCAACAGTTTGCCGATCTGTTTAGGGAATCTTTTAGCCAACCTTGCTGGAGGTAAGTGCCAGCGATAGAACATTTTATATAAGTTTTCTTTATAAAGCTGCTGATAATGTTAATTTGTAATTTATTTCCCATATTTTTTCCCAATCTTCCAAATTAATGCTGTAACAAAGGTTTTCCCAAATTATCGGACTCTTAAGAGATAGTTATACATTTTAGTAATCATTTTTTCCTCTGTCCCCTGTAATATTTTATTTAATTCCTGTTGATCTTTGTAAATTCCATATTCCTCTATATCTTTCTTATACCTTGTTTGGATTTGTAGATATGGCCACCAGTTTATCTTTATTCCTTGTACCTTCAATTCTTGGTTTGATTTTAATTCTCCTTGTTCATCTAATAATTCTTTAAATCACACTACTTTATTTAAATCTAGGGCATTAGGATACAGGGATCAATTTCTTATCAGCTCCAGGCCAAACCTGAGGTGCAAGAATTTGAAGGCAACAGTTTGATATCTTTAAGCTTTTAAAAATATTTTTTTACCAGAAAAATAGAGGTTAAGATTTTGGTTCAATAATGTGATTTTAACATTATTCTAGATTTAAGATTTTCCCATTCTTGGAGAATTATTTCATAGGAGGCATTTGCTTTTAGTTTATGTAATGTTAACAGGATATAATTATATTAAAAGCATTATTAAGTCTTCGGCTGGATTCCAAGGATATACTTACATTAGCAGCATATTAATTAAGTCTTCAGCTGGGTTCCAGCCTACTGGAATTCTCTGTCATTAGTTTGATTTAATCTTTAGCTCTTAAAAATGTTTTGTGTTTGCTTATTAGGTATAGACTTAGTCATAATTCATTTTTTCGGTGTGCCTGATTCTTGGTCAGTGAAAGAGAAGCTGACAGGAAGAAGGATCCGACTAAGGCGGGATTAAATCTTCTTCATATTTTGTGGAGAAGTCTTTTCCTTACAAGTCACAGTGACTTTTGTCTGAACACAGCCATAAGAGCCAGGAACAAACATCATCCCCATAAGATTCAAAATTTAAAATAAGGTTTAACTTTTATCGGCAGTGCTAACTCCGTGCATGATTGAGTGGGGTGATTTCAGTAATCACCAGCCCAGTGAAGATATTCATCCAGAGCAGGAGAAATTATGTATGGACCCCTTACTACATGACTTCTGAGGAGACGTGGCCGAGACCTCAGCTCTAAGACAAAAATGGGAGAGCCAGTCTCATAGCCAAGGAAGAAATAATTTGGGTTGACTTCAATCCTTACAGAAAACACAGAGGGGGGAAAAAAGGAAATAGTTGCTTGAAAGAAAGAGAAAAAGAAAGCAGAGAAAAGGAGCGTCTTCTTCATTCTCGCTCTCCTGAACTACTTTTGTCCCCAGGTGGTTGAATGACTCTATTAAAACTGGATGTCAGCGTTCCAATGAAACTCCCCATTACATTCAGCATTCAGGAACAAAGTTCATCCAAGTATGAATTTATTAAAGTAGGCACATCTGGGAAAACTCGAATCTGAGAGTTCCGGGTTTTCCCTTCCCAACTGAAATTCCAAGATCCCTCCCCTGCACCCATCAGTCCATCACATGGCCCAACCAACCATCGTCCCAACTGGAGACATTCCTCCGGACACTCCTCTCTCAGAATGCAAGGTAACTTGTCCTTGACTTTCTGAGAAAAGAATGTTGTTGAGTCTAATCTTCCCCCTCTTTATGAAATCCCCCCTCCCAAATTCCCAGGCACAAAAATGTGGCAGCCTCGAAGCTTCTAAGTAAAATATGGTTTCCAAGGTTGACACTGGAGACATACTTGTAAAAAGAAATGGGTGAATAAGTGCTGTGGAATTTACAAGAACATAAGAGATAGGTTCATCCACCCCACATCTTCTCCCCAAACTCTTGGTGCAAAAAACAACCCAACAATCACTCCTTGTACAAGGCAAAAAAAGAGTCCTTGTATTATTTTTAGTTATTTGCAGCCATATAATAGAAGGAATCCTGCTGGCTGCATTTCCCGAATTACTCAGCTGTCACTCATCTGGTGTCATTTCCCTTTTCAGTTAATAAATCTAAAGTCTTACTTTAATTGAAGACACATTTTGGATTATCTGCCACACAGCTACATCGCTCCCCTGCATTACAGGTTATGGTTGCGTTAGTTTAAGCAGAAAGTAATCTTGTGTGGCTTCCTGCTAGAATTTTTTAAGACTAGTAAATGGTACTCTGCAAACTACATGCTGCCTTTACTAATGCTTTGTTTGAACACCAACCATAATATTCTACCAGCCTGTCTCACAAGAATCTGCAATACGATTGGGTATGTTACATAATCCTTTAGCGGTTTTACGTCTTCCGTTTATGCTGAAGTCAAAGACTTTGATGTGGTTCACATTATTTATTTGTTTATTAAATGGTTTTTTTCTGCCTATCTCACTGTCAGGTGAATCTGCGAGGGTTTGTAACCTCATAAAAGCAAAAACCAGAAATATTAAACCTTTAAAAAAAATAACTTAAAATTAACAGAATGTAAATAAATTAGAAATCAGAACACAATGGGGTCTGGGATCTTCCTTGTGCGGTAACCACTTGCAACATCAGAATTGGAAGGGACCTTGGAAGTCTTCTAGTCCAACCCCTGACTTCATACCATTTCAAGCAAATGCCTGTCCCAGTCTCTTCTTTTTTAAAAAAATATTTTTATTGTGCATTTTCCTTCATTTAACATCGCAATTTCAATTCTGCAACAGCGATCTGCTGATTGTATCAGCACCTTTTTAAATATACGTGATGTTTTAGGTCTATCCTAGTTACGACCATTTTTCTCTTTTTCATGCAGTTTAGTCCATAGAAAAAAGAATTAAAACTTGATATTATAGAGCATATATCATTGTATCCATGGTTATAACTTACTTCTCTATTCATTTATCACTCTATATATTTTGATTTGCAATTATATACAATCTAGTACCAATATTGCTTACAGTGCGCATCCTTCTATGTAGCTTTATACCTGTATTTGTTTCTAACTTGTTGATCCTCTTTCATCATCCATTTTCTAACCTTTGCACCTATTATCTAGCCAATTGTATCCTAGGTCCCATATTAGGTAATACTCTGTTTCTCCTTTGTCTTTAATTTCCATCGTTAGCTTATCTATTTCGGTGCATTCTAATATTTTCTTTATCACCATTGCCTCTGTGGGCATACTTCCGTTTTTCCCATTTTGCGCGTACGTAATTCTAGCCGCTGTTTATTAACGTGTAACATGAATTATTATATTTTTATTGTATTTCCCTTTTATTGTGTTTTATGCCTAATCAAAACAGTTCTGGTTTCAGGTCTATTTGTTGGGTTACTATCTCCTCCAACCACTTTTTTTTTTTGATCTTTGCCCAATATTTTTTATTATTTTTTTGCCAATATGTCTGTCCAGTCTCTTCTTGAAAGCCTTTGTTGAGGCCCCGGGCTTCGAGGCTACATTTGAAGGCCAGATCTCACCTCAAGTGTTCCAGAGGGCAGAAGCCATGGAAGTAAAGGCCCGTCTCCTCTTCTCCACTGTGTAGAATTCCGCGACCGAGGGGGGGTCCGTGGTACCCCTTGTACCAAAACAAGTGGGAAAGGCCAGTCCCATTGGGGTGAGAGGGCTCCTCGGGTATCCTAGACTCATGCCAACAATAATGCTGTGTGTTTTTTTTTCCTCTTCCCTTCCCACAGCGTCCCTAGAATCCCGTGGGCTTTTGCCATGACTGAAGTATGTGGCGTGATTCTCTGCTACATCTGGTTGCTGGTCCTCCTCCTTCACAGGCACAGGTAGAGCTCTGAAATAGTCGGCTGCTTCGGCATGAAAAACTTGGTGGGGTTTCCTGCTCTCCATTGTCATTCCAGAAAACCGGGGAACAGAACGTATTTTACTCAGGGGGGTGGGCTTCAAAAATTTTAGCAAAGGGTTCTCTGCCCAGTTGCTGGGTGGACATGGCCTAGTTGACCTCCTGTACCATGGCCAGAGGGGAGTGTTTTTCCCCTCCCCGGGCTCCAGAGGCTTCCCTCGAGCCTCCAGGAGGGTGAAAATGGCCTCCCCAGACTCCGGAGGCTCTCTGGAAGCCAGAAACGGGCCCATTTGTGGCCTTCCCGAACTCCCAGGAGGCCCGTTTTTCGTCGTCCCTGAGCCTCCGTGTGTGCCATGCACTTACCTGCATCCAAAATGGGTTGCGTGGGGACTCCTGGAAGGGAAGTGGCGGGGTGGGTGGGGCCAGCCAGGAGGGGGATTTGGGAGTTCTCCAAACTGCACAGAATCTTAGCTAAGGGCCTCTCCCGAACCCCTGTGAGCCCCCAGCAACCCACCCCTGATTTTACTATTATTAACGGTGAACGCTAACCGTTGTTTGCCCCAAAGAAATGATCCAAAGGATGAGCACTCACAGATGCTTTCAGCGTCCTCACCAAATTGACCTTCCGGGAGGGCAAACATTGCGAATTGCTTGTCGCGCCAAATCAAATCCAGGCAATCCTTGGCTTACAACCCCCCACTGAGCCAACCGTTCTGTGGCTAAGGGAGAGATTTGTTAAAGTGAGCTTGGTCCCATTTTTACGACCTTTCCTTGCCACATTCGTTAGGTGAATCGCTGCAGTGCTTCAGTTAGTAAGATGGTCCTTAAGCGAATCCGGTTTTCCCACTGACTGTGCTTGCCCAGCAGGTCGCATGACCTCTGGAGGCACTACAGCCGTCATAAATCTGAGCCGGTTGCCAAGCATCTGAATTTGGGTCAGGTGACCATGAGGATGCTGCTATGGTCATTAAAATGCGAAAGCGGTCATATACGGCTCATATTAAATTTAGTTAAATCTAACAGGGATCCACAGTTTTTGGTAACCAAGTCTGATTGCAATCAACTGTCTCTTGCTACCTCCATATCCTGGTTCTGTATCTGCCTGTGACATCAAGGATAATCTCCGCGGTTCTTCTAAATTTGAACCTGGATGATGTTAGAGGTTTGTTTGCTGGGACCAATCCGGATTGCGAGCTTAGTTTGTAGAGTCATGGTTTCCTGACTTACATGTAATTTGTAGGCTGTGGCTTAACAATTCAAAAATGTAAGTGTAAGCACTGGACTTTTTCCCTTCAACCAAAAAGAATGAACTTCTGAAAACCAGGTGTTTCAAAAGGAATCCTTTATTGAAAGGGATTTAAATCCAACACTAGGCAAAGCAGAGTCTAAGATATTTCCAAGCATACAGTCATAGATAAAGGAAGTTAAAATCCCTCCCCTTACTCAGATGTGGATTTAGTCAAACAAAGAATCAACATGTTAATTTCCCCCCTCCCCTTCTCTGGGAACGTATCTTAGCAGAGTTACGTGTCTTCCAGAGCTGGAATTTTTATGGTCCCTTCTCATCTTGCTATCTCTCCAAGAGGTGACAAGTTTCTAGACATCTGGCTCCACTCCTCCAGTTGTATATCATATGCAAAGTTATACAGAATCAATATAGGATTTAATATATTCAGGTTACATCAAAAAGGATTACTTGTACCAACTCCCCCCCTTCTTCTTCCATTGAAGAATGGCAGATACACAGATCTGACAGTGTGTAAAGAAAAGGGGAAATACTCAAGCTAATTGAGCATATAGTCCAATGGATGGTCATATTTTTAATCTCAAGGAACAGGTGAAGTTTCAAAAAATGTAATAGCAATAGCCCTTAGACTTATATGCCGCTTCACAGTGCTTTATGGCTCTCTCCAAGTGGTTTACAGAGTCAGACTCTTGCCCCCAATAATCTGGGTCCTTATTTGACTGACCTTGGAAGGATGTGAGTCAACCTTGAGCCTGGTGAGATTCGAACTGTCAAATGGCAGGCAGCCAGCAGGCAGCACAAGTAATCTGCAGTACTGCATTCTGGCCACTGCGGCTTTTAACAGGAATTTTCCCATGTTTGTAAATCAAATAAGAGTCCATAAACCAAATATTTATTTTCATGGGATCGCCTTGCAACAGCCGAGGACAGCCGCAGAGTTCTGAGGGAAGATGCGGCTGCTTTAAAGAGCTGCTAGGCAGGGTCTATGTGAGTGTGCAATAGGCCTAGTAGTCAATTCAGAGAAATTGTGCACCCAAACAAAACCAAAGGCTTGGCTCCAAAGATGAGTTGAGCTAAATATGTTTCTAGAAGAGACATTCCAGATCCCCGATACCCCCACATGGCCACTGCACTCTTCACAAAGCAGACCTAGAGGGGATCCCTCCAGAGCAATAAGAGATGACAAAGTTAGGGTGGAAAAATTGTCATTCCACTAGTTTCGTGATTGTTAAAAGCAACTTTTGTTCCTAGATCGATCCTTTTGCGGCGACAATGCAGCCTGATGGGGACTGTGTTCTTGTTACGTTGTGTAACAATGTTTGTGACCTCACTGTCTGTGCCAGGACAACATTTACAGTGTTCTGGAAAGGTAAGTCAATGAGTCTCCCAAGAGCTTGGACAAAGACCTTTGATGTCACCAGTGCTTTGAATTTTTTATATCGCGTTTCCCTGAAAATAAGACTGGGTCTTATATTAATTTTCGCTCCAAATGACGCATTAGGGCTTATTTTCTGGTTAGGTCTTATTTGGGGGAAAATACGGTTCCAAATGCACCTGTCTGGCGGACAATCTTAACTGGGGCTTATTTTCAGGGTAAGGCTTATATTACAAGCATCCTGAAAAATCAGGCTAGGGCTTATTTTCCAGTTGGGTCTTGTTTTCAGGGAAACGGGATAGATATATCAGATTCAAGTTAGCCACAGATTCAGCTCTAGTATCTTGAAGACAGATAATGATGAACTCTTTATGTTTAGTGTCATGAAAGCTTTTGAGAATTGGCAAAGTAATGTAAAACATGAGAGTGATAATTGAACTACTGACAGGTTTATCGCGCCTGTATAATGTACATTTGGGGGACTTCAAACTCTGTAAAAGGGGACATACCAGTAAAGTATAAAACTCATTTATGCAAACGGAAGGGCATAAGTTGAAAGTGTGGAAATCTAACTGTCATTATATCTTCCACCAGTACCTGAACCCCAAATGCAGGTAGTCCTCAATTTACGACTGCCCCAAATTTCTGTTAAGTGAGTTCTGCCCCATTTTATGAACTTCCTTGCCACCGTTGATAAGTGAATCACTGCAGCTGTTAAGTTAGTAACACAGATGTTGAACCAAGTCTTGCTTCTGTATAGACTTGTCAGAAGATCACAAAAGATTATCACATAACACCCCCTCGGGACACTGCGGCCGTCGTAAATATGAGCCAGTTGCCAGGCATCTGAGTGTTGATCACGTGACCACTACGGCCGTGTGGAAAAAAAATACTTTTTTCAGTGTCGCCGTAACTTCGAACAGTCCCTTAGCAAACTGCTGTATGTTGACGACTACCTATATACCTAAAGTATGGTTAGGCATGATAGAGCGTTCATTCGGGAACGAAGTCTGCGAATTATTTGTTTTAAGAGGTAAATGCTTGTCTGCATCACCTGTGGAAGCGGGGCAAATGCAAGATACCACATTCACTTTATGGCGGGGACAATTGCAGCCGTTCTCTTAAAGTCTCACGCGTTCTCGATGTGTTCCTTTTAAATGTTTGTTGTGCATGATTCTAATTCTAGTTATATGGCAATGTGTGGGCAAAACTTCAGCGAGCCTTTGCTATTTGGAGTGGATTTGGCATGACGTTAACAGGAGTACACACCTGTGGAGACTATATGTTCAGTGGCCATACTGTTGTCCTGACTATGCTGAACTTTTTTGTCACTGAATGTAAGTAGAGAATCGGGGGGGGGGGGGGGTTAGGGGGAATAAAAATGGAACAAATGTCCCATCTAGCTTGCCACAGCTTCTGTTCCTCTTTCCTGGTGTGTCACAACTTTCCTGGCTCAGCAGATCGCATAGCCACGCTTCAAAGGTTGATCAACTTCAACTCCCACAGGGAAGTCTCGTTGGCTAGAACATGCACAGAGTTGTAGCCTGGCAGCTTCTGGAGCCCGCCCCTCGTGGTTGCCTAACTGTGAAATAAAGTTTTCAGTCCTTGTGGCAGAAAAAAAAGAGATTTAAGTTGGAAAAGGCATGATTTAGTAGAGGCCATTAGCATTTGTGGGTGACACCCGCCCCATTTGGGATAACCATAATTGGAGAAGAACTATTGAATGCTGCACGTTCCTGTAACGTGCGTCATTTTGTTTTAGAAATAAAAACGAAAAGGATTTATTTCTAATTTTGAAACCTTTGACTGACACCAGCATTCATGATCTGCGCACTAATTCTGTGTTTAACTGGCCCCTTTGCTTGTAAGACCTTTTAACACAAAGCATCAAGAAAAGGGAATGGTGCCTAATTACTTTGATGTTCTGGAAATTAAATTATAAACTACAGGCAAGCAGATTGCCAGTCCTCAGACTTACAGTCTAAAGGGCAAAACGAGAGAATGGAAGATAAATACCCCGTTTTCCCGAAAATATGACCTACCCTGAAAGTAAGTCCTAGCCTGACTTTTACATGTGCACCCAGTATATACCCTACCCCCCAAAATAAGCCCTAATTAAGATCCCACCCACTCCAGAGTGGAGGAGTAAAAATTAAGCTAGGGTGGGGATTGGTGGGGGTGGAGTTGCCCTACTACTTACCTTTGGACAGTTGTAGCCAGGCCTCTCACACCCCGACACTTGCCTTACTGGCCCACATCTTCTGCAGATGGCAAGGCTGGCAAGGCTTTCCTAAAGGCCCCTGTAGCTGATAACGAAACTCTGGATCGATCCGGAGCTCTGTTATCGGCTGCAGAGGCCTTCAAGAAGGCCTTGCCGGCTGCAGAAGAAGTTCCTTAAGGCCTCTGACAGCAAAAAGGGAGGCTGAGTTGACGCCCGTAAGCGAGGTGAGACTGTGGATGACATCCCCTGAAAATAAGACCTGGTGCCTTTTTTGGTGGAGATATATAATTATACAAAATATTATATAAAATATAAGACAGGGTCTTATTTTGGGGGAAACACAGTAATAGTGGAGACATAGTTATTTTCAGGAGATGAGTTATTACAAAGCCAGAGTCCATGACCGTTGGTAGCATATTATTATTATTAGGCATTTCAAACCCCTGGGGTCTGTGTTGCTCTTCCCTTTGCTGTTATTCCTGCTAAGAGAACAAGTTCCAGTAATTTTTAAAAAATCTTTTATGGCGGGAACTGTTCTTCTCTTCCGGAGCCGTTTCTGGAGCTTACCCCAAGCCTTTCTGCTTGCTTCTAGTTCCCTGTCTTGTCCAGAACATGTCTAGAACACAGTTGATGAAAAGCTCCAAGTTACGGGTGGTTGACTGCTCTGTTCCTTTTTATAGATACCCCAAGAAGCTGGAACTTTTTGCATACGTTGTCTTGGGTGCTGAATCTGTTTGGGATCTTCTTCATCTTGGCTGCTCATGAACACTACTCCATTGATGTCTTCATTGCCTTCTACATCACTACGAGACTCTTCCTGTACTATCACACCCTGGCGAACACAAGAGCCTATCAGCAAAGCCGAAGAGCCAGGATCTGGTTTCCCATGTTCTCCTTCTTTGAATGCAATGTCAACGGCACCGTTCCAAATGAATATTGCTGGCCCTTTTCAAAGCCAACCCTATTGAAAAGATTAATCGGCTGAAAGACATCCCGTTTAATTCACATCTCTATGAAGCACTTGCAACTAACCTTCTTCAAGAAACGCTGGGCAAGGAAAGGGTTGTTTTCACCCACACCATCATCTCTTCTGGCCTTGTTCATCCTCTCCTGGCTTATAAGGTTCAGAAGAGACCAAGAACACATTGTCATTAAAAAGGAAAAAAAAAAGAAAGAAACAATGTTCAGGCAGAGTTGTTAAGCTGTAATGAAGTTCTGCATGGATGTGGTGAGGTGAAACAGCCGGTTCAGCACCTCTTATAGCTTTCTTGTTGGGAGAATCTTAAATTGATCTTGGCTGCAGGCATAACTCCAGATCCAGGTACTCCCTGAGCAGCTTTGGGCCTGTTTGCACATCACGAGTAACCATAAATAGCTGAGTGTTGACTTTCTGGTTTGCACCCGATAGATGGCCCTTGACTTTGTGGATTCTGCTCATGACTTATTAGCCATTTTGAATGGTAGACACACACACGGTTCGAAGGCCAGACTTGCAGTCCAGATGTCACTAATAGTAAGCAATCCAAGAGCCGCTTGTGTCCTACAATTGAGCGGTATGTTTCAACATGAAAAATGGCCAACAAGCGAGCAAATGGAACTGCCTTAGCTCAGATTGCTGGTGGAAAGCAATAACGCAGGAAGGTAGGGCTCTGGCAGGGTGCATTGGTGCTCAACTATGTAATGCTTAAATGTGATGTGCAAGCACGTATGTCGTTCCTTGGACGAGTACTAATACTGACAAAACCGTCACAGCCGTTCAATAATTGGCGCTCAATATTTATTTCAGCAAATAAATGAGCTGGGGAACATTCACCCAGGGACATGAGTTTTCCAAAGCCTTCAGTATGAAAAATATATGCTGCATTAATAAAAGGGGCAAGCTTAGCGTTTCTGGTGAACGATGCTAAAACCCCAAACAGGCTTGACTGATAAAACGAATTAATGCCGTTGTGTCCTCCGGAGGTCCTAAGTGTTTACATTTCATTAAGCCGGTAAGAAATATGTGAGAGATGAGGTGGGTTGAAATTTTGTGCCACAACTTTTTCAGTGCAGTATTAAAAACACTTATTTAAATCCGTGCATGCTTTTTAAACATTTGACGTTAGGGTAGTAATCCTGTGAAATTGGGTGGCGAGCTTAATAAGGTCATGTTGAATAAAGGAAATGGGGTTTGCTTGAAACACATGGGTGATGCACAGAACTGTTTGGGATGGAAGCCCATTTCTCCTCTCCTTCACTGGTAGCCTTCAAAGATAACTGGCACTGGCAGAAGTTGGAATTTACCATATTTTTTGAAGTATAAGACACACCTAAATTTTGGGGAGGAAAACAAGAAAAAAAATAAGAATAATCTGTCTCTGCCTGATTTGGCACAAGCAGCTGATTGTTGGTTGGATCGGTCTCCCGACAATCAGCT